CCACCATCTACACCAAGCTGGCCACCGCCGCCACCTTCCCGTTAGTATCCGTACCGCGGAGGGGGCTCTCGGCTGGGAGCAGAGCTTGGGGAGGGGGCTGTGTCCAGACCCTGCCTCTGCTCGTGGCGTTTGGTTTGGTTTCGCTCTAGCTCTCGGTGTTGCCTGTTGGTACAGGTCATTGAAACACAAGGGCCGCTGCTTCCCCTGCCCGGAGAGGGTGGAGGGGACACGGCTCTCTTCTGCCTTGTGCGTGTCTCTGGCGGATTTATTAGCTACATGCTGCTTCAGGAGTTTTTATTTTTTAAGCCTAGGATAAAAAATGGTGGAGGGGAGTAGCCAGCCTAGTTTGCCAAGGTCTGCAGAGGTGGGGTGGCAGCTATTTTCTCCCGGTGAGATGGATCAGACTGAAAAAGAGGTCAGTGAAGCGAGACCTCCGTTGTCACAGCCTCCCTCGGGGGAGGTCTGGCAAGGAGATCGTGTCTGCGTGTGGCATCGCCCTGCTTGAGGGGCAGGGGGTGCTGAAAGCTGGGGGTCAGCACAGCGCCGGGGGCAGAGCCCTCCTGGGGAGAACATGTGGGTGCATTGGAAGACAAGGTGGAATTACTAGTGAGTAGTTTTCCCTCTAGCTTCTCTTCAATAAACAACTTTATTTTTAGAGATGACACTTTTTTTTTCCCCCTTCTGCAGTATTAAAATTTAAATATTCTTAATATATCTTAGGGTATGTGGTATAAATAAATAACAGCGTAATGGAGGGCCATGGATTGGTTGTTCTCCGCTGATTTAGTGGAAAATGAATAATGGATACGTCTTTGCTCCTCGGAGAGGAGCACATTCATGCAGGACAGCACATGTTTAGGAAGGGAAATGTGTACGCTTGGGCAGGAGCGGGCACCTTCCCTCGCTGCCCTGAGATCGGTGTCCCCGGCTCTGCCCGTGTCTCCGCCTGCGTCCGCTTCTAGGTCTCGGTGCTCTTGGAGTTGTAAAAGCAGCTTGACCTAGAAAGGCAGATACATACCTCCTTGCTTGTGCTAATTATTTAGGTGTTGGTGTACTATTTCCAGACCACGGGAGGGTGAAGCCACATCCGTCCCACCCGCGGGGCGGGGAGCCGCTCTTTGGCTTGGTGATGATGCCAGGCGGCAGGTGCTGTGGCTCACGGAGCCGGGGAGCCTTCAGCTGGGCTGTGGCCACAGGCCTGGAGCTGCGCCATTGTCACCATCCATCCCCGCAGAGACATCCCAACGGCCCCGC